ATTGAGGATATAGTGAAGTATTATATAAGACTTATCACCAGAGCTGCAGTTACTATTACTTCGAATTGTCATCTCAGGAGGACCTATACCATACACTGGAGGACCTATACCATACACTGGAGGACCTATACCATACACTGGAGGACATATACCATGCACTGGAGGACATATACCATGCACTGGAGGACCTATACCATGCACTGGAGGACCTATACCATGCACTGGAGGACCTATACCATGCACTGGAGGACCTATACCATGCACTGAAGGACCTATACCATGCACTGGAAGACATATACCATGCACTGGAGGACCTATACCATACACTGGAGGAATGAAAGATTGATGAAAGTCGCTTATGACGAGGGTTACCATGGCTGGGCTGCCTTCAGGGAATGATCACTTCAGAATTACATTTTCTGTTGCCTCCGGTTTTATGTTCTGTATTAGACTGATGGTGCCTGCTGTGTAGGCGAAACGTTTCGGCAATAAAGCTACCAAAGTGTTACGTATGACTTGTTAGTCGGCTTATCGGCAATGTATACCATCAATAATAATCAAAAAGGTTGAGTGTTGAGAAACTATGCTCTTCTCCCATTTTGTCTCACTCTCAGATCAGTTTTTCCCCATCCCTGGAAGAACGTAGCTCAGGATGAGACAAGGTCACGACATAGAAAATACTGAGAAAGAGGGTAAAGACGGAGGTGTTAGTGAGCGATGGAACAAAATTAGGCAGCCAGACCCTTAGGCATTTCAAGGTAAGTCATTTTCTAAACTCCACAATCCTCGTCACTTCATCAGAGACTGCAGATGGCGGGCATTAAACATCTTCAGCACACCCAGAGAAGACACTGCCAAGAAGAGATACATAGTCCTCCCCACCAACTTCATTGCCAAACATGTTTCCAACATCTTTTCCAATACATCATTCCAAGTATCTACCTCCACAACCACGACCATCAAGGACATTACCAGTAACAGACAGGACAAGCTTCCATCCTCTGCAGGGGTATACATAATCCCTTGTAATGACTGCAACAAATTATACGTGGGCGAAACATCAAGAGACCTCCAAACACGTATTTCAGAACACCAATACGCAAGCAGGTCTGACGATACAAGGAATACCTGTGTACAACACCGCAATTCACACAACCATTTAACTACAGAAACTCAAGACTTATCGCCAGAGAAGACAACACTCAGTACCAAAGAATCCTGGAATCATCGCTTATCTCTATAACCAACAATTTCAACCAGAATAATGGCTTCTATAACATAGCTGAACCACTTGCCAAGAAACTTCTTCAACGCTATCCAACATAAGAATGGAGGAACATTGCAAAAGATCTGCTCACAACCTTATCCAATCTCCCTTCCAAGCTACCCAAGATTTTAGACTCTATAACCCCACTCGGTACATCAGATGCAGCATTCTCCACCTGACCTCAGCATTCTCCACCTGACCTCAGCATTCTCAACCTGACCTCAACATTCTCCACCTGACCTCAACATTCTGAACCTGACTATAAATACTCGCGTACCTCCACCCCAGGTAGATCTGTTTGTGATGAATGGTTTGAAAAACCGACAAGCTGAAGATTGAGACACTTATGCAGCATATGGGAATCTTTATTCAGGAAACGTTTCGCCACACAGTGGCTTCATCAGTCCAATACAAAGAGGAAGGCGTAAGGAGAGGAGGAGTATGAGGTAATAAGTCCCTCAGCCTGGAGTCGATGTGTTCAGTCCATCAGTCTTGTAGAATGTACAGCATAGGGCCGTAGACGTGGCTTATATATTGTAGTGAGGTGAGGTGAAGCAGGCGGAGGCGGGGTCATAGTGGTACCATCCACTAGTCCTCCGCCTGCTTCACCTCACCTCACTACAGTATATAAGCCACGTCTACGGCCCTATGCTGTACATTCTACAAGACTGATGGACTGAACACATCGACTCCAGGCTGAGGGACTGATTACCTCATACTCCTCTCCTTACGCCTTCCTCTTTGTATTGGACTGATGAAGCCACTGTGTGGCGAAACGTTTCCTGAATAAAGATTCCGATATGCTGCATAAGTGTCTCAATCTTCAATCAGATCTGTTTGTGACTTGAAAAAGCCCACTGTGTGGGCGAAACGTTTTCAATAAAGGATCACATTAAACTGCATGTGTGTTTATATTTCCATTGTGTCGGTATTTTATACCATTTATTTCCAAGTCACAGGGAGACTGAGATGAAGAAAGTAGGAAACTCCATACATAGCTTTCCAAGCGAGTACGGTGAAGCTAATTCACAGTAGTCGACAGCAAATTCGCATAGGTAACACAGAAGTACGAACACACTCGCACAGACATAACACAGACTGTCGTAGGCTCTAATGCCTTGGCTGGTAGTAAGTCATAAGACAGACGAAAATGAACGAGGGAGAGAAACTGAATTAGAGAAAGAAGACAAAGGTGAGAGGGGGTGAGGTAACTATAGAAGAAGCGAACTCACTGTAGAATCGAGTCAGCCAGTGAGTTAGACAGCAAAGATAACAGGGAAGCAACAAACCCTGAAGGTGAGACAGGGTAAAAGGAATGTTTGTTTTCTACTGATGTAACTTTTTTTTCCCACCGCCTGTACATTAATCGCCTTCAGGGATGACTTAAGCATTCCTCGGCTTCCAAATATATATACAAAAAAAATGTGGAAAATTTAAGTTACTTAAATTTGATTTTGATGAACAGCTCGTGGTAACAGGCTGTTGTGACTGAAGGAAACGTCAACAAACAGCACTGCTGGAGAAGACAGCAACAGCCATCACAGAAGTGGCCACCTAGACGCAGTTTTCTTTTTGTACAACAATCGACACAAAATACAGAAAGAGGACAGGAAAAAGGAAGGAAGGAAGGAAGGAAGGAAGGATGGATGGGAGAATGGGGAAGATATGGTATGAATGAAGAAAAGGTAGGAAGCAAATGAAAGAAAAGGAAACGACAGAGAAGGATGATTAGGTCTGGAGAGGCATTTTCTCATGAAAATGCGAAACGGGATGGAGGATGTATTAACATCAGGCGCACTGTTACCCAGCACGAGACACCTTCCAGCAGGTACTGAACTTTCTCACATGGTATATAACCTTCCAGCAGGTACTGAACTTTCTCACATGGTATATAACCTTCCAGCAGGTACTGAACTTTCTCACACGGTATATAACCTTCCAGCAGGTACTGAACTTTCTCACATGGTATATAACCTTCCAGCAGGTACTGAACTTTCTCACACGGTATATAACCTTCCAGCAGGTACTGAACTTTCTCACATGGTATATAACCTTCCAGCAGGTACTGAACTTTCTCACACGGTATATAACCTTCCAGCAGGTACTGAACTTTCTCACACGGTATATAACATTCCAGCAGGTACTGAACTTTCTCACACGGCATATAACATTCCAGCAGGTACTGAACTTTCTCACACGGTATATAACATTCCAGCAGGTACTGAACTTTCTCACACGGCATATAACATTCCAGCAGGTACTCAACTTTCTCACACGGTATATAACATTCCAGCAGGTACTGAACTTTCTCACACGGTATATAACCTTCCAGCAGGTACTGAACTTTCTCACACAGTATATAACATTCCAGCAGGTACTGAACTTTCTCACATGGTATATAACATTCCAGCAGGTACTGAACTTTCTCACACGGTATATAACCTTCCAGCAGGTATTGAACTTTCTCACACGGTATATAACATTCCAGCAGGTACTGAACTTTCTCACACGGTATATAACCTTCCAGCAGGTACTGAACTTTCTCACACAGTATATAACCTTCCAGCAGGTACTGAACTTTCTCACACGGTATATAACCTTCCAGCAGGTACTGAACTTTCTCACACAGTATATAACCTTCCAGCAGGTACTGAACTTTCTCACACGGTATATAACCTTCCAGCAGGTACTGAACTTTCTCACACGGTATATAACCTTCCAGCAGGTACTGAACTTTCTCACACGGTATATAACCTTCCAGCAGGTTACCACTTAAGAACAAGCATAAGACAGCATAGAATAACTGAATTATATTTCCTCTACCAAAACAAGCTGGTATTCACAGTGTATCATAACTTATGTACAGTAATTACAAGCTGTATAATGAGGCAAAAGCAAGTATAAAACACGGTGAATCATGAACGTCCGGCAGTGAAGGCAAGTTAGATTCCCAGCGAGGGTAGAAACGTTGGGCGTGTTTCGTTACACCGGTTGTCCATGTTCATCCATCAGTACAATGGGTACCTGGGTGTTAGTCCACTGGTGTGGGTCGCATTCTGGGAGAAAACTGACCTAATTTGCCGGAAATGCTCTGCATAACAAGCGTCTTTCTGTAAAGTAGTATGTCATTGATGTCAGATATGGTCTGTATACCTTGTACATGTAATGGTAGAAATAAAGATACATATTTGTAAAGTTGTTTTTTACAAATGTACCACATCGCTTCACAACTTTGGCAGGATGCCTTGTGATTGGCTGGTTGAACCAAGATACTTGTATAACTACGGGGTCCTTTGATGGTTGAAGTTTTAGAGCACCTGGTTCGCTGGTCGGGAGGCAGCCTATAGGGGTGTGTGACATACGCCGAATAAAATGTAACATAGTCTTAACATACCACTCTTCCAGTCCAAGAAAGTATACCACCAGTGCAAGAGTATGCCCGACTATGTATAATATAATGTTAAAAATTATGGACTTTGTTGCCCTTTGCTTGTCTTCCTTAACAAAACTTTTCGTTTAATTTAGTCTCTGGTCTCTGGCCTCCCATTATTATTTTCTCAGTATGTTCAACAAAGACTAAACATAGAGGAATAATAGTCATTATACCAGTTAATATATCACATTGGGAAGCATGTTATTACATCGAGTACGTTTTTCTTCTATCTTCCCGTGTGCGTACGTGTGGGACGTGCGTACGTGTTGGGCGTGTGTACGTGGGCGTGCGTGCATACAGGTCGTGAGCTGTGGGTGATGGTAGTGTCAGCGTCACCGTACGAGCACATCGTGGGTCAGCCCAACGTCAAATACGTGGCCAACATGCATGGTAACGAGGCGGTGGGCAGAGAGATGCTGCTGCATCTCATAGAGGTAAGTTCTTTCTCTTTATTTTTCCTCCTCCTTCACAGCATCCTCCTCCCCAGCCTGAAGAAGAGTTCAGCTCCATGGACTGGCTGAGGGACTGACCACCTCCAAATACTATGTCTCCAGAGTTAATGGACCGATTACATTATCTTTACCTCCTCACTATTAATGTCTACAATGCATTCTGTGTATTTGACTGACGAAGTTTACCATGTAGGCGAAACGTTTCAACAATAAAGACGCCCAACTGGTGCACATATTTTAACCACCAAGCATGTAGTGGTTGTTGTAGTTAATGGTAGATTTCCTTAATTTAAAGCAATGTCTTTGCATTGCCAGTTCTCCTGTGTATCTGTTACTTTTGATGACTTTGCAGTGTTTTTCCTCTGATCTTTTCTTTAGTTATATTGTCAATATTTAGTTGTGTGTCATCTATGTGTTTAATTCTCTGCTCTTCCATTTTAGTTTCTGTTCTACAGATGTTTTGCTATCTAATTGTTTTGCTACAGTTGTTTTGCTATCTAATTGTAAACAATTGTTTTCTCGTTATTTTATCTGTTACTGATCTCATATTACGTGGTTAATTTATGTTTAAACTAGGAATGTAAACCTTACTCGCCTTTATAATATCTTTCTCGTACTAAAACTTGTCGCTAGGTTAGGCTTCACAGCACAGATAGGTAGTGTTTGTGTTAGAATTAAGGGACGAGAAATCCAGCCTTCACAGCTTCATTAAACAGAGTGCTTCACAAAGCAAATAAATCGCGAGGTTAGTGGTGAAGTAACAGATGGCTGCCCTTTGTATTTTTCTCAGACTTGTGACACCAGTCTTCTTCACGCTGTGATCGGCTCAGTACAATTTCGTTGAGAAACACAAGTGTTTAATGCAGTAAATATTACTTGTGCTTACTTGATAAAAAGATACTTGTATTAATTTGTTGTGGTAGAGCTAAGGGTTCTCAATGATTGCTGAGACGATATATATCTAGCAATACATAAATGCCTTAGTAATGTTAGTAGTTTGTGCTGTCTTCTTCCCTGCAGTACCTGAGTTACGAGCTTTTGTAATAGTTTCCTCCCCTCCCTGCTTGCAGTACCTGACGAAGAGCTACACTACTGACGACTATGTTCGCTGGCTGCTGGATAACACCAGGATCCATATCATGCCTTCTATGAACCCCGACGGCTTCGAGGTGGCCAAGGAGGGCGTCTGCCGTGGAGGCCAGGGCAGGTGAGGGTGTTAGATGGTAGGAAAGGAGAGAGTCTGCCTGGAGGTCAGGCAGAGCAGGTGAGAGTGTCAGATGGTAGGAAAGACAGTGAGGAAAGAAGATAAAATTGAAGATGAAAGGAGGAGCAAGAAATGCAGAGGAGTCAATAAACGAGTTGTTTAGGAAGTGAGAGGTAAAGAAAATGAAAGAGAATAACAAGGTATAACAGATTTAAAGCCATTATAGGGAGTTCAGAAAGGAAAGAGGCAGTTTGGCGTAAGGCTGAACATATAATAAGAGTCAGAAGTACTGAGGATAGCCTTCCACCACCTACTCCTCGACTACAGGTACAATGCTCGCGGCTTCGATCTCAACCGGAACTTCCCTGACTACTTCAAGCAGAATAACAAGAGAAACCAAGCTGAAACAGAGGCTGTCAAACAGTGGGTGTCCAAGATCCAGTTCGTACTCTCTGCCAACCTGCACGGTGGTGCTCTAGTAGCTTCATACCCCTTCGATAACTCTCCTAATACAAGTGAGTGTTGACACGTTCCCCTACACTCGCCTATTGTTTGCAGGGGTCTTATCTGTATGTGTGTGTGTAAGTAGTTATGTACGTACGTGTACACTTGTACTTGCGAGCATATAAGAGTGGTTGGTGTGCGGAAGTGAAAGTGTAAAATTAAAACTTGCCTAACATATCATTTGTTTACAGGAGCAGTGATGCTCGCGGTGTCTCGCGAGCGGACGTTCCCACTTTACTTATAAGTGATAAAAATAATTTTGATTTATATGTAGGAGTGTCAAACATGGCTTCTGGGCTAATGAAGAGTATTAACCACATTGACATATCTCGAAAAATGTGATATTAGCCAGTGATAATTGGTCGGGGGGTTTTAATTGTGTAAAAAATGGGGATTTAAGTGTAAACAATGGTCGGGGGCTTTAACCAGTGTAAATAATGAGGATTTCAGTGTAAGGAATGGTTTGGGATTTAGTGTCAACGATGGCTGGATGATTTAGCTTATTATATTTATGAAGGAATTCTAAACCAGTAGGGGTCATAAAGCGCCTGAGGAATGGTAGACAGTTAGGTATGATCTAAAGGCATGGAAGATAGGTTAATTCTCTGTATCAGGAGTCCTTTGCCAGGATCAAGGCAGAGGAAGACTTAAGACCAGGTAAAAGCTGGCTATGATCCATCACTGTTAACAAAAGAGGAATGACCTTCATTAGTTAACCAGAGGTCTGTAGTATGAATAATGGATTTCTTTCACAGAGAATTGCTAACCTATATATGAAGTATGTGTGGACACTAATGTGAGCTTGTGACAATCAATTTTGTAAGTATGTATGGGCACACTGGTGTGAGCTTATGAATGTCAGTTTTGTAAGGTGTGTGAACACACTGGTGTGAGCTTATGACATTGCCAATTTGATGTCTGTGTATCAGACTGCAATTATTTAAGTTGATCTTAATATTTGTTCCATTAAAATGGGCGAGTTGTCGGCTTATACTTCGAGGACACTGACAGTATTTGACAAATCAGTATTTGACAAGTCAGATATTGGTTAGGCCTGTAAGTAACATTAATGACATGAAGTCATTCGTGTCACTGTTGTTACTTGTAGGCCTACGGTCACAAGTCTGGTTCATCAGTGATGTTACCAGTGTTACATGTAGATCATATAACCACACTGTTTACACCATTAAACCACAGTATATTCTCCAGACAACTACCAGCTCTTGTGATTTTTCTGTAAAGATTTTCTTAAGCTACGTATCTTACTATGTTTCCATCATATACTAACACGGTTCTCTGTATCATTTATAGTCAAGGACTGCAACCTGAAGCCCTTGTGTGCAGGTATTTTCTCTTAATGAACCAGTAATTCTTGCCTTGCCACGTTCACACCTAGGTTGGTTGGTCTGGCCTCTAATGCATCAAAGTTTACCTTGCAAGGCCCATGTCGCTGTAGAAGACTCGGTTCATATCATCCTTGGTTCTGAGTCAGTCCATATTTTTTTTTGTATAAAAATATTATTTTTGGATGGCAAAAATTTACCTTTGGGCACAGTTCTGTTTTGGTTGATAAAAAAGACTAATTTCTTAATCCTGCATGTTCTCTGTAGAGAAAAGCTTCGCTAGTCCAATGAAAAATTATTTAAAAGCTAAAGAGTTTCGTTGGAGACTTTTCAGAGGTAACTTAAGCTCACTTTGACAGCCAGTTCAGAAGTTAGTGCCTTATCAGGGTCTTCACTACCAGAGTCCTTATGCAAATCAGGGAGGCAAGAAGAATCACTAAAGACTATTTCGTAAGATGTTAAGAAAATCGTCCATTTGGTGTTATCATGGCGCTTGGAACACTGGAAAATACAAATCTTGAACTGGTAGGAGTGCTGGGAGAGGGAGGGCTAGTGAGTGCTAATACTTGCTCTCTTATTTACTTTCTTACATCGATCTTTCCTCTCATCCACATGGTTTATGTGGCATCTACACTCTTATTCCATCCTTCTCGTCACTACTGTGCTCTCTCTCTCTCTCTCTCTCTCTCTCTATCAATCTATCTCTGACTGTCGCTACTTTGAACGTCTTTCTCTGTTGCTAGTCATCTCTCCCTAAAATTCTGGAGACTCCTCTCTGGCGTCATGTCTGGCGACATCTCTATCGTTCCTCTTTAACTGCTGCTGCTGCTGTCTCCTCTCTGCCTCCTCGTCTCTCTAAAACTCTCCTCTCTGGCTCCTCTTGCTTACCTCTTCTCTGACTCCGGCTGTTCCTTCAGTACAAGTTGACACAGCGTGAGAGTATTTTGCAGAAATTAAGACCCTTCATTTTTTCAGAGTTCAGTGTTACTTTGTATATTATTGTAAAAGTCTTCAATTAAGCATTTATTTCAGTTTTGGAGGAAGACAAGATGTGAAGCAGAGTGTCACAAAACAGTGTACACATAAATTTTATCTGCACTAAAAGCTAAAAGTTTTCGAATGCGTAATATACAACACTTTTTATTTAATGAGTTGCTTTAACCTGTTATCAGCCTTTGCCAATGTTGCTCTGCTGAGTGAGAATGTATCACGAATTTCCAGCCCTGGACTGGTCTCAGCTTCTCCATATCTTAAACACAACTCAAGGCAAGGATGGTAGGGAGGAGGTGGATTATAGGAGCGGTGAGTGGGTCTCTGTTGACATTTTGTCAGATATGCTGCTTTCTTATTGGCCAGGCGTGTCATGACGTCATGCTTCCAGGCTTTCTTATTGGCCAGGCGTGACATGACGTCATGCTTCCATGGTTTTATATTAACCTGGTTTTATGACGTCATGCTTCCATGCTCTCTTAATGGCCAAGCGTGTCATGACGTCATGCTTCTATGCTTTGCTACTGGCCAGGCGTGTCATGACGTCATGCTTCCATGTTGCTTCCCAGGCAGGGTTTGAAAAGTGTTTTGCATTTGCAACTAATGGAATCGAGCACATCTTAATTAAAGTGATGCCACATTGATCGGGTCCCACGGCAGCTGCCTGGTGACTCTTGATTTAATTAAGACTGCTTGCAAAAAAAAAAAATAGCGAGATTTTTTGCCTTGATATGCACCGGAGTGAGAGATCAGTTAATGAGGAAGTTATGAGAGATGTGTGTTCGTAAGTTAGTCCCTCGCAAGCTCTGCCATCTTCCTCAACACTAACTAAAGCGAAGATATAAACCAGAGAGTGTTAAAACAGCCAGCGCCGCGTTAATTCACACACACATGAACAAAAACCCCTCAAACGCCTCCGTCTTAAATATAATATAATACATCTTTAAATATTGAAACGAAAACTCAGTTTTGCATGGTAATGACGAGAGCATGTTGCTTGTGTTGCTCGAGTTGCTTGTGTTGCTCGAGTTGCTTGTGTTGCTCGAGTTGCTTGTGTTGCTCGAGTTGCTTGTGTTGCTCGAGTTGCTTGAGTTGCTTGTGTTACTTGGTCACCTGTGCCTCTGCTCAATTATTTATTTATTCTTAGAATTTGTGTTCACTTCCATAGAGAGACATTTGCATGTTTAATGCGCACTTAATGTTTGATGTTGTGGCTTGTGTTCGTGTTTACATTAAGGCTCTTCACTGTCTTGGATAAATATGTGAACATTTAATCGTCATTCTCGTGATAAATAAGGAAGTCTAAACATAAGATCAATAATTCAAGGTGATAAATGGCTGATCACAGCTCAACTTTAATAATTCTTCAAGTTTGTCTGTCAACACTTGGGTAGATCTACCACCAGCAGCTGTCAGCGGCTGTCACTAACTACAACCCTGGCTACTCTACCCCTCTCCACCCCCACTCACAAGACTCCCCACTCACAACTGACTCCCCACTCAGCACTACTTTAATTTCTCCTCCATTATAATCATCCCCCTCGTCCTCTACCCTTCTCCCCTCTACACATCCCTCTGTCTCTCTTCCCACCATCATCACTCTTGTTCTCTCCTCCACGCCACTTTCTACTACTGTTTTCTTAACTTTTCCTCCAATTATCCACTCTCGCCCCTATTTCCTCGTTCTCTTTCCCTGTTACACCCTAATACACCTTCCACCCTTCCAATCAGCCACTAACTTTCTTACCCTGGCACTTACCATCTCAGTGGCTTTCCAGTTTTCTTTGCTACCTCTGCATGTGTGACACTGGCATCCTGGGTGGCACTGGCATCTTGGGTGGCACTGTCATACTTGGCACTGGCATCCAGCTTGGCACTGTCATTCTGGGTAGCACTGTCCTGGATGGCACTGCCATCCTGGGTGGCAGTGTCATCGTGGGTGGCAGTATCATCCTGGGTGGCACTGTCGTCCTGGGTGGCACTGGCATCCTGGGTGGCAGTGTCGTCCTGGGTGGCACTGGCATCCTGGGTGGCACTGGCATCCTGGGTGGCACTGGCATCTTGGGTGGCACTGTCATACTTGGCACTGGCATCCTGGGTGGCATCCAGCGTGGCACTGTCATCCTGGGTAGCACTGTCCTGGGTGGCACTGTCATCCTGGGTGGCATTGTCATCCTGGGTGGCACTGTCGTCCTGCGTGGCACTGTCCTGCGTGGCACTGTCCTGCGTGGCACTGTCATCCTGGATGGCACTGTCGTCCTGGGTGGCACTGTCGTCCTGGGTGGCACTGTCATCCTGGTTAGCACTGTCATCCTAGGTGGCACTGTCATCCAGGATGGCACTGTCATCCTGGGTGGCATTGTCATCCTGGGTGGCACTGTCATCCTGGGTGGCACTGTCATCCTGGGTGGCACTGTCATCCTGGATGGCACTGTCGTCCTGGGTGGCACTGTCGTCTGGGTGGCACTGTCATCCTGGGTGGCACTGTCATCCTGGGTGGCACTGTCATCCTGGGTGGCACTGTCATCCTGGGTGGCACTGTCGTCCTGGGTGGCACTGTCGTCCTGGGTGGCACTGTCATCCTGAGTGGCACTGGCATCCTGGGTGGCACTGTCATACTTGGTGGCACTGGCATCCTGGGTGGCAGTGTCGTCCTGGGTGGCACTGTCATCCTGGGTGGCACTGTCATTCTGGGTGGCACTGGCATCCTGGGTGGCACTGGCATCTTGGGTGGCACTGTCATACTTGGCACTGGCATCCTGGGTGGCATCCAGCGTGGCACTGTCATCCTGGGTAGCACTGTCCTGGATGGCACTGTCATCCTGGGTGGCACTGTCGTCCTGCGTGGCACTGTCGTCCTGGGTGGCACTGTCCTGGGTGGCACTGTCATCCTGGATGGCACACTGTCGTCCTGGATGGCACTGTCATCCTGGGTGGCACTGTCCTGGGTGGCACTGTCCTGGGTGGCACTGTCATCCTGGGTGGCACTGTCGTCCTGGATGGCACTGTCGTCCTGGATGGCACTGTCATCCTGGGTGGCACTGTCATCCTGGGTGGCACTGTCGTCCTGGGTGGCACTGTCATCCTGGGTGGCACTGTCGTCCTGGGTGGCAGTCATCCTGGGTGGCACTGTCGTCCTGGGTGGCACTGTCCTGGGTGGCACTGTCGTCCTGGGTGGCACTGTCGTCCTGGGTGGCACTGTCGTCCTGGGTGGCACTGTCATCCTGGGTGGCACTGTCGTCCTGGGTGGCACTGTCGTCCTGGGTGGCACTGTCATCCTGGGTGGCACTTTCATCCTGGGTGGCACTGTCGTTCTGGGTGGCACTGTCGTCCTGGGTGGCACTGTCATCCTGGGTGGCACTGTCCTGGGTGGCACTGTCGTCCTGGGTGACACTGTCATCCTGGGTGGCACTGTCGTCCTGGGTGGCACTGTCATCCTGGGTGGCACTGTCGTCCTGGGTGGCACTGTCATCCTGGGTGGCACTGTCATCCTGGGTGGCACTTTCATCCTGGGTGGCACTGTCGTCCTGGGTGGCACTGTCGTCCTGGGTGGCACTGTCATCCTGGGTGGCACTGTCATCCTGGGTGGCACTGTCATTCTGGGTGGCACTGTCATCCTGGGTGGCACTGGCCTACACCTGCTTTTCTTCATCCCTCTCTTGTTGGCTTCATCCTCCCATCAGCACTTTTACCTCCCCACTCACCTCCCCACACATCTCCCCACTCACCTCCCCACACATCTCCCCCCACTCACCTCCCAACACGTTTCGTCCGCCACCATATCTTCACCATCTGATCATTCTACTTTCATAATTTCTCTAGTCAATATCCTACCACCACCACACTGACCACCACCACCACACTGACCACCACCACCACACTGACCACCAACTGACACCACACGACCACCACACTGACCACCACCACCACACTGACCACCACCACACACTGACCACACCACACACACACCCACACACTGACCACCACCATCACACTGACCACCACCATCACACTGACCACCACCATCACACTGACCACCACCATCACACTGGCCACCACTACCACACTGACCACCACCATCACACTGACCAACACCATCACACTGACCACACCATCACACTGACCACCACCATCACACTGACCACCACCATCACACTGACCACCACCATCACACTGACCCACCACCATCACACTGACCACCACCATCACACTGACACCACTACCACACTGACCACCACCATCACACTGACCACCACCATCACACTGGCCACCACCACACACTGACCACCACCATCACACACTGACCACCACCATCACACTGACCACCACCATCACACTGACCACCACCACATACCCACCACACATGGCCACCACCATCACACTGGCCACCCACTGACCACCACACTGACCACCATCACACTGACCACCACCATCACACTGACCACCACCATCACACTGGCCACCACTACCACACTGACCACCACCATCACACTGACCACCACCATCACACTGACCAACACCATCACACTGACCACCACTACCACAGACCACCACTACCACACTGACCACCACCAACACACTGGCCACCACCATCACACTGGCCACCACTACCACACTGACCACCACCATCACACTGGCCACCACCATTCACACTGACCACCACCATCACACTGACCACCACCATCACACTGACCACCACAACTGACCACCACCATCACACTGACCACCACACTGACCACCACCATCACACTGACCACCACACTGACCACCACCATTACACTGAGCACCACCACACTGACCACCACCATTACACTGAGCACCACCACACTGACCACCACCATTACACTGAGCACCACCACACTGACCACCACCATTACACTGACCACCACCACACTGAACCACACTGCCACCCCATCACACTGGCCACCACCATCACACTGGCCACCACCATCACACTGGCCACCACCATCACACTGGCCACCACCATCACACTGACCACCACCATCACACTGACCACCACCATCACACTGACCACCACCACACTGACCACCACTACCACACTGACCACCACCATTACACTGACCACCACCATCACACTGACCACCACTACCACACTGCACCACCCACGCACCACATCACACTGACCACCACCATCACACTGCACACCCACACACCACCACACTGACCACCACCATTACACTGAGCACCACCACACTGACCACCACACTGACTAGTGTAACCACAGCCCCATTGCTTGCACTACTGTCCCCCTACTAACATTACCAACCTCACACTACCCAGCCTCACACTACCCAGCCTCACACTACCCAGCCTCACGCCACCCAGCCTCGCACCACCCAGCCTCGCACCACCCAGCCTCGCACCACCCAGCCTGACCACGCGACCCAGCTCGCACCACCCAGCCTCGCAACCACCCAGCCTCGCACCACCCAGCCTCACACCACCCAGCCTCCCACCACCCAGCCTCACACCACCCAGCCTCACACCACCCAGCCTCGCACCACCCAGCCTCGCACCACCCAGCCTCACACCACCCAGCCTCACACCACCCAGCCTCACACCACCCAGCCTCACACCACCCAGCCTCACACCACCCAGCCTCACACTACCTAGCCTCTCACCACAGCTCATCATGTTGATGATTGTGTTGCTGCTCCTCAGTTTTCCAGCAGTTCACCTCAACACCTTCACTGACTCCCGACGAGGACGTCTTCAGGCACATCGCGGGCGTGTACTCGTTCAACCACGCCAGCATGCACCTGGGTCTGCCCTGCAAGCCCGGGGCTCACTCCTTCTCCAATGGCACCACCAACGGTGCTGCCTGGTACCCTCTTACCGGTAAGTTACTCTTAATCTGATTATTCACCATTTTGTCATATGGTGACCCAAAAGCCTGGACATCTAGGAAATATTACTATTATTCTGTTTTTTTTTTTCCGCAGTTATTATAAACAATTCTGGCTATGTACTGTGTGTGATTGTATTACACTCAGTAAGTGTAATAATTATTTCTTTCCTACTAATAACCTCTTGCTGTCTCTGCTGTCTGTCGCCTTACCCTGGCTTACTGTGACTGCAGGAGGGATGCAGGACTACAATTACGTCTGGCACGGCTGTATGGACGTCACAATTGAGCTGTCGTGCTGCAAGTACCCGACGGCTGATCAGCTGCCTAAGTTCTGGGCTGACAACAAAAAGGTCAGTTTTTTTTTTTTTTTTTTTTGTGTGTGTGTGTGTTTACCCTCCGCCGGGAGTACATGCCTCCCTAGTACCTATGGTTTTGGACTTTATAGAGACTGTCTTGAACTTCTTTATTTCTCAAGGAGTTCAGAAGAGTGCTGCTGCTGGATCCAAATGGCGTACTGTCGAAAACACTGAAGACATTTTACAGAACGAGCTGTGTTAGGAGGACCTATCACTCACTGTTGAGCTCAGTCATATTTTGATAATGATGGACTCAGAACGAAACATTATTTCGAGAAAAAAAAATTGCGAGTTTCTTCTTGCTGTGGCTGCTACTGTTGTTACTGCTGTAGCTGCTGCAACTTCTGTAGCTGCTGCTGCTATATCTGTAGCAGCTGTAGCTGTTACTAGCAGTACTAGACTACCTTAACTTCACATACAATTATTATATTTCCTTTGAGTGCTAAACCATTATGGATCATACAGCTCTTGTGTAATGAGATTTAATCAGATTTGATCCCATATATGTATGTATATTTGGTACAGGCACAGGCAGTATGTACACTGTAAGTAGGTCTCGGTTGGTTACCTAGTCTTGCACAACACGCAGCACTAACCACGTCAAAGTGATGACTAATCTTCCAGGTTCTTAAATTCAATACATTATAGAAATGATAAAACTGAAGATAAGACCGAATCCCTTCCTGTCTACGACTGAGGTTCTTTTCATCTCTTTGCTGAAGGGGGTCTAGTGTGAAGCCGAAATACACAGTACTCTTGGTGCAATTTTATTTTCGCTCTGGGTGTGTTTGGGCCATTAAAAGAATGTTTATTAGGCTTGTTAGGCTATAATTATTACCCTGAGGTGGTCTGATTCCGGTGCTCTCCTGATTCAGGCGCTGGTGAGGTACCTGGCGGAGGTTCACAGAGGCGTGAGGGGCTTCGTTAAGGACGAGCAGGGTCGGCCGGTGGAAGGAGCTTCCATCAAGATAAGAGGACGAGATGTTGGCTTCCAGACTACCAAATACGGAGAGTACTGGCGGGTCCTCCTTCCCGGCAGATACACCATAGAGGTCAGTGCTGGTGTACTGCTCTTACTGCAGCTGCACGCAGACAACAGCGAAGCAAGATGGTGTAGAGCAAGATTTTACTGGGTGCAAGGTTTTGTTCTTTAGGGCTTTTGACAAATAATTTTATACACTTCTATAAGAAACGTTGTTACAACTAAGTTAACTAGTACACACACACCATTACTATTAACAAGACTACTATATGCTATTATACTGCTACTGTTGCAGCAACACACGCAAAAACTTGAACTTGTGGTTAGAAGCCATAGAAAATCTTTGTATTTTCATTCCTGTGTGTATCAAATTTTTATAATCTTGCCACAATTTTAATTGTTTTTACTAGTACCGCATTCTTCCCTTAAACTCTCTGCCTTGTTGTAATCACTAACTTTGCTTTTCCTCCATCTCCTCTACACTTGGTATCTAGTGTTAACATTAGGTGCTATGTTGTCTTCCTGTCTAGGTGTACGCTGGAGGGTTCGATCCCCGGGAAGAAGACTTCACTGTAGTGGAGACCAACCCAACGCTGCTCAACCTAACACTCTACCGTGCCGCGGTGAGTACATTCACACCCCTCGCTCCTCCATCATTCCCTCATAACTGTTAAAGTACTTTGATTACTGTTTGGACCCTTGTACGTAGGCGTGGCAGCTCCCTAGAATGCGTCAACTCTGCCTGAAGAGTATTAAAATAAGAAGTTTTTCAATACTTTTCAGAGACGCTCTATGATGCACTTGTATTCTCAGTTGCGGTAACTTAGACGTTAATTCCCAGAACCGTGAAGGCTGTACTTTACTAAATCCAGCGACTAGATTCCTTTAAATAGTAATGTTAATTCTGTTCGTTCTTTGTGTAGTCTCTTAACTTGGACACAGCTTTACAGCAGTACCTGAGCCTCCCATGGGACAAAACTAATTACAACCACCTTTCAGAGCCATACCTCCGGGACGCTCAAAAATTTAAAGCAAAATATTGTAATATCGAGAATCAATTCACCTTTTAAGAGTTCTGAGACTTGATTCATCTGCTTCCTTATTAGATTTCAAAGTGCTGGAAAGAGCTTAAATGGACCTGGTGGCTCGCTACATAACAAATACAGTCTCCCAAAATGTTCACTTGGTACAATATTTTGAAGGCGTAGGATATTTTGTTGATTTTTTTCCTTGTTCCATAGCACTGTTAGTCTAGCAGGGCTGAGCTACCTGGTCGCTGCTGCCGTGGCTCGTCACACATACATCACTACCCCCACTTTCATCTTTCTTACTATATAAAAATGTTAAGATTTTTAGGAGGGAGTCTTGTGCTCCATTGTAGTGCTGGTACCCAATAGGTTAACATATCCCGCGTCAGTACAAGGCTCAGTTTTGCTCAAAATACCGTCCACCAACCCTAGCTATATTCTAAAATATCCTGAGCTATCGTGGTAATGCTCATTGCGAGACAATCCTCTAAATCTTTAACGTTATTGTTTAATATAAGCATTAATAGGTTTATTATATTGGGTATTAATGTGTGTAAATCTAAGGTGTTCCCGACTCTATGCGGTTGCTCACTTCTTATCCACATTTCTAATTGATAATCACGAATTCTGCCAGAGTTAAATATTTTAAATAGTTTTTAACGCCTGAATTAAAATAACAATGGTTAACAATTTAGTAGTGTAAGCTTGATTTATAAAGCACCTTTGCATGTTTCTTGACCTCGTGATTGCATGAATGCACCCTTTAGATTCCAGTTTAGTTACGTAGTGAATAGCGTAGTCACGCTGCTTACAGTGCATTGTATTAATTACGTCTGTCTTTACCTTGTATCAGTTTAAATCTATAAGTATATTAGATTTGTAACTGAACTGTATTTTGGTATTAAATATGCTCTCCATTAACATTTGAAGTGTTAAAGCTTTTGCAGTCATGATATATGTTGGTTGTGGAAGGAAGTGTTAGGATATTAACTGGCTTCTTCCCCTAGCCGCCGCCGGACGCCCTACCCTCCAGACCGCAGCAGGAGCAGCAGCCGCAGTCTGCCGCAGGGGTACGACACAGTCCTCTCTCTGTTCTTTGGCTTCTGCAGAGCCCTTTTCTGAGCTTTCACTTTCTCTGCCGCGACCCAACATCCATTCTGTGTCCCCTGATCTGTTTTATACCCCACAACCCAGGTTCCACTCTGACGATGACTTTAAGGCTTTGGTTCATGTGTTTACCCTGGAACCTTGAGCTCAGTCTTTTAAGTAACACACACTCGCGTAACACATTTAGATTGCAATATATTTTAACGAATAAAGATTTGTATTGTGTTTTTAGTACTGCCTTCCTAAGTGACGACGAACAAGCTTTTCCGTGAACGATAGTTTCATAGTGAGTATAGACACCATCTTGGCTGTCACAGGTGTTAACTTGGTCTCAAAAGTGAAGACGTCAACAGTGTGTGTGTGTGTGTGTGTGTGTGTGTGTGTGTGTGTGTGTGTGTGTGTGTGTGTGTGTGTGTGTGTACGCGCGCGTGCGTGCAGGACACTGTAATTCAAAGAAAACTTTAGTGTATCCACAGATTTTAATAAACAGTTAATCAAGCGCTGTTACCTCGAAGTGACATCCTGTTTAGATTTTGTCTTATATATATATATATAATATATATATATATATATATATATATATATATATATATATATATATATATATATATATATATATATATATATATATATATATAACCTTTAACTCAGGATTATTAGCACAGGGTAATCAACAAACTTGATATTGCATCTCATATACGTAGGGTCCTTTCCGACGATGCGACCCACAACAGTTTACTAATACCCGGGTACCTATTTTCTGCTAGGTGAACAGCAGCACCAGGTGAAAACGTAATATTGCGTATCGGAGTGCCCAGGAATCGAACCCGGGTTCTTTCTCTTGAGCCGAACATTCTTACAAATGAGGTATAGGTTAGACTGTTAGTTGAGGTTAACCTAACCTAAGCGGGGATAATAGAAAGGTAATTCCTGCTTCATAGATCGCTCACAAAGAAGGGGAACAAGGGATGGTTAACACATCACCGTGGATGGGAGTGGGCCATAAAGACGCTGGATAGACCAAAAGAGGATGGAAAATCTGAGGTAACGGTGAAATATTCGCCATAAGGATGACTGGGATAGACTCGTAACTCAGGGCAGTGAAGGTTGTGAAGACCGGCCTCACCTGCCTCGATATATTAAACGTTGTCTTTGACCTCCAGTGCGAGATCTGATGGATGTTACACTTGCGTGAGCATGTATTGTTTTTGTTATTCAACTTAAGCATTCGCATCTTCACCCATCGCACACAGGAGATACTTATAACCATATAGATGATAATCTCTTCTCTTAAAAATGTTAAGATTTATTTGTTTTCCCCCCCAACGTCCCCTCTGAAAAATGACAGGGCTGTGATAGTTTTAAGTCAGTTAAATGTTTAAAGGCAGGGCAATGAGCTAGAGCTCAACCCCGTAAATTCAAGGCAAGTGAATGATGAAGTTGCTGAGGCAGCTTCCGTGCACAGCTGCAAGGATTGGTAGGGTTGGGCTCAATAACCTGCAAATAGAATAAAATTTTAGCACATATTTCTATACCTTTAAATATTTCACGTTTTTTTAAAAAGTCATATGAAAATCCCATAAAAATATATATTGAATATTTCGACGTTTCAGAGTAGATGGAGACATTTTTTAACATGAAATTTTAGCTAAAATTTGTAGATTACTCACACTTTAATAAAAAAATGAAAATTTACGATTTTTCGGTGTAATTAAAGAAGCAGGTTGAAGAGCTCATTGACTTCGTCCCTGCAACAACTACCCTATAAGAAGCACGCTAACAGGTTTTCGGGATCTTTTAACTATATCATGCATGTGCACGAGAGCCGTGTGCTTGAAGGCTTGATTAAGGTTGGGAGGAGTTCTGGACTTAAATAGAAATATAAGGTTACAGAATATCACTTAATATTTATTGGTGATCATGTTGGGGCAGATACTAGTAACACATTGCATTTCATGACGCGTTCAACAGCGGATTAGAGGAAACTTTTATCTTGGGTATTTAGCGCTTCCTTTTGATTATAGTTTTATCTTGGGTGCGTTGATCACACGGTCAGGTGTGACCAGTTCCTGTGTATCAGCAGACATTGTATGTCCGAGTTGGTGACAGACGGGTCAATAATATTAAATCCTGCTTCTGTCTTTCCTTTACCTCGGCTTCTACTTTATATTACCATCCCCTCATGTTATACATAAGATGTCTGGGTATGAAGACACAAGATACAGAACAAGGTTTCGTCACAATGTTTCGCTCAGGGCAGAGCTTCATAGTCTGACTTGCTTGAGGATCTATCCTTATCGAAGCTTCATCCAAACAAGTTTCTGTATTCTGTGTTATGCCCGAACCTGTGATCATTACATCTGTATACACACTCAAAATAGGTGTCACATCTGATAACTACGTAAATAACTTGCATGATTCATGCATGGCACTTCTATTATTGGTGTTCACATATCAGCTGTAGTCTTTAAACATATTTTCAGAAAAATGCAGAAAGTACATTAATAATCTGAGGTAGTCAGACAACTTTCTGTGTATATGCCAGTACGGAGAATTTCTTATTCTGAGCCATTCTTCTGCCACTAACAACGAACATGTTCTTCCCATCAGGTACCTCTGAGTAAACCAGCACTATGGACCACAGCTTTAATTCTCTTAGCGGGCCAAGCGCTCTACACCAACTGAAAAACCATTTCCTCGTAGCTCTGGCGCCACCTCCTAACTACAATATTTTATTTTCATTCACAACTCGAGATCCTCGGATAAATTTTCCATGATAAAGCTATTTAGGCTGCGAGTAGTTTTGATTTATTCTGCGGGACCATATTGTTTTCCTAAAGGGTAGAAATTTGGATTAACTTTATGTAGTGTAACTAGTTTGTTTTTTTTGTGTGTGTGTATGGTATGACACTTATTTTTCTATTTAGCTTCTAATCTTTCTTATCCTGTCGTGCTGGTGAAATTAATTTCTTAGTGCCGTTGTGATAACATGTTGAAAAGCTCTTTATATTATATAGTAATGGTCTTGTCTGTGATACCGAAATTTTGTAAGCCATATCTTGTGTGTCTTATCTTAACATATTTACCAAAGTTTACTTTACATGCATTTTAAGTAACTCGTAGATTATTAACACCGGTCTCAGAGCAAGGCTTTTAATAAGCCTTTAAATATCACCTTCGTTAAATGCCTGGAATTAAAAAGTATTAGAAAAAGTATGTCGGTGGACAACTAAGAGTTCAAAGTCAATCATGAACGATACAAAGTATTCATATCAGCAAAGTTAGTGGAGGCTCAGGGACCAGGATTGTTCATGGGTAGACAGGCAGCCCCCCATCCCTTCCCTTCCCTCACACACAGCAGCAATGGAGCACACAAGTGGCATTAAGACACTGTGCATGGCAGCCTCGTCGAGGTTACACTCCATGGTAGCTTAGTCGTCACGGGTATGGTTGTACAATGGTGGTAGTGCATGCTTACACTGCTTGTGTGCGTACATGGTGAAGTTGATTGCATGAGACTAAGTCCTTTAACAAAGTTTATAGAAATAAATAACGCCAGAATTCTTGTGCCATTAAATATCATACTAGCTGCAATAGTGCTTTTTTTTATTTTATAGAATAAAAAAAAAAAAACTATGAGTGCATGACAACTTACAAACAAGACTTCCATAATCAGATTAATAAAGTTGCCAGGTACTTATTTTGGCAATAATCCTAACAAAGACCTGCATATAGAACTGTTTCCTGCATGTATCACACACTCAGGTACTTGTAAGTTACTGAAATATTGATCAGTATAACTAGACTAACATTGTATGTTGACAATGTCTCCTGTGTTTCTTAATGCACGTGTTTCTCGCAGTTAATAATCCTTCCAGACTGTATTATGTTTTTCTGTATTCGTGTGCATTTTTTTTTGTTGTGAAGTTAATTAATGTGAATGTCTAAACTGAAGTTCAGTTTGTAGACTTGTTGATTAATTGATGGTTTATGAAATGAGTGATTTTTATTTAATTGCTTGTTGTCATAGCTATGATGGACTTTAATGAACACCTGTGATGATGATGATGATGATGAATGATGATGATGATGATGATAATTACTTGTAAACAGTAGTGTACTTCCACTTCAATATTTACTAATGTAATGCGGTAAACTCTTCGATACCTTATTGTTGTTTATTATTAATAAATTCGTGGGGTAAGTGTTGGTTTAACTTGACTAGGCATTGTTAAAACTTCGTTTGATCATAATTGATCATTATGACATTGTATAATATCTTAACACTTACGTGTTGCGAAGTTATGGTCAAGTTAAGAATGTTGACACAGACTGAGCACAGTTTGATAAAAGGTATTTCTTACGAGAGAATTATTATTATTATTATAATCAAGGGGGAAGCGCTAAACCCGGAGGATTATACAGCGCCTGGGGGGGGTGTGGAAGGCATTCAGGCTTAATTCGGGGAACTGGAGCACAGATCCAATTCCCTAAATCAAGAGCCCCTCACCAACATCAAGGAACCTTCCTTGAAAAAAAAAAAAACTTACGAGAGAAGAAAAATTGTCTGGGATGTTCCGTATTGAGTTACGTGATCAGTTATTAATTCTGGTCAAGAATACAATAATTCCTCATATAGGAATTAATGTAATCTTCGTGTGTGTAGATTTCTGTGTCTTGGTGTATGTAGTACTAAGGATGGGACGATACCAAAATTTTTAGATACCCATTTTTTCGGCCGATACCGATACTTGTATATATTTTTCTGAGTTATAATGAATATTTTCATTATATAAGAAATGCTTATTGCACAATGGGTATTAAATAACACAGGGAAGTTAAACATTAAATAACTTAATTTCTTTGAGATGTTACCTTTTATGTCAGTGGATGTTAAAGGCACATCTGTGCACATTTGTGGTTGCAGGGGTCGTCTTAAAATTATGTATGGTTCCTGCCTCCACTACCTCACTTGCCAAACTGTTCCACTTCCTTACAACTCTATGACTAAATACTTCTTGACATCTCTTTAACTCATCTGAGTCTTCAACTTCCAATTTTGACCCCTTGTTTCTGTGTCCCAGTCTCTGGAACATCTTTTTTCTGTCCACCTTGTCAATTCCTCGCAGTATTTTGCATGTCTTTATCATGCATCCCTTAACCCTCCTGTCCTCGTGTCGTCAGGTGTATGTGTGTGCGCGCGTGCGTGCGTGCCTACACGGACGTATGTACGTACTCACCTATCGAGTCACAGCTTTTGTGCGTACGTACGTGTGTAAATGTACGCACGTTGCGTTTACTTTAATGATAGTATCCATGACTGGTGTAGTACAGGTGACGATCTCAGTGACCGTCCACATGTAGTCTAGTCCGTCAATCAACCCAGGTTCAGCAAGCAATCAGCGCACCTCCTCGCACTCTTGAAGCATACTTATTCATTATAGGCAGCATTTTTCATGATACACGTATGCGAATTTATAAGTAAAATATAGTGGCCTAGCACCCAAACATCAACTACGTTATGTGCGGAATCTTAAGGTCGATGTTCAGCCTAGTGTCCACTTCTCTCTTGCTTCCCAAATTCCTTATTAAATAACTATAATCTAACCGCCCTTTATTATCTGTTGGTTGTATTATTTGGCTTCTTTATTGTTGCTGTTCCTTCACTAGCTGCTGACTGTTGCTCGCTTCATTATTTGTTGCTTCTCTGTGTTTTATCTGTTGCTTTATTTATGTCATGTGTTGGTAATGATGTTGATTTTCAATTTATATCCCCGACTCTCAGTGCATCATTAATAAGTCTGTTGCATGTATTTTTGAATTCATTGACAATATTGAAAGTCTCTTATATATAAGCAGAGAATATTTGATTTTTTTCCCCAATTTTTAGCCTTCAGGACTAGACCGAAAATGTAATGATTTTTAAATTCATATCACAGGACATTAAGGCACGAGTATTTATTTTTTTTCCTCACATAGTGAAGAACATCACAAATAAAGTAACTTAATTTCTATTTCTGATACAGGTTTCTAAAGCCGAGTTGAGTTGTTCCTTAAGGTAGCGAGGGTCCTACAGTAACTCCTAAACTACTTTCTACAACCTTGCTTAACATCAGTTTTTAAGTTTACTAGGCTCAGAAATTTGATGTACCAAGACTGTTAACTTGTCAAACTGTAGACATTTTGGAAGGCGAATTCTTAGGCAAATGTAGACCAAAGTCATTAAACATCACTGACAGCTTTGTGTTGTTAAACCGAAAGTTAGGATTATTGCTCAATTTTCATTTATTTACTGGTTAACGTGTGTTCAACAGGATCGTCATGAGGCTCAACGACGACCATCGTACGTAGGAGGACCCAACCAGCAGCAAGGAGCTGCACCACAGAGCGGTATATCCGGGTTTCTCTCCTCCATCTCCAGCCAAATATCTAATGTCTTCAGTATCTTCGGTTGAGGAGTGGTTCCTCGCCAGATGTTTTATGAGTGAAGTTTAGGCTGTAGTATATCGAGCTGTCCTCGTGAGTGGTGTTCGGGAGAGTGCTTGGTTGATGTTAGAGTGCGTGGTTTACTTGCAGCAATATTGATGAGTTTTGACAAAATTGACTCCGTTGCTTAACGCTCACTCGGGTTTCATGCAAATGGAAGCACAAAGAACCAAATACCTTACTGTAGGTGTGTTAGTGAGAGGATGTAGACTTCACTGTGTAACAAATGCTGTTGTTGTCAGAGTGTTCATACTATAGTGTAGGAAAGTGTGGCATTAGGCTGAGGTGATCCACTCTTCTGATGATACAGAAGTCTTGGACCTCCTGCTGTAGATCCCTGCCCTTCTTGTTACCCAAGACACTTACCACTAGTAATTAAGGTATGTTTTGCTTTAATTTATTCTTAAGCTATTAACTGAGCCTCCCTTTACTGTCGAGGTAGTTTATATAAAAGTAATGTATGTAGAATTACTAGACGATACCCGGGACGAAAGGGCCATACATTTTAGTCCAGAGAATTATTGTAGTCTTTGTTGTTACCTTTTTCACTTTGCACTTATTGTTGACGTGAGTTTATAAACAGGTAATTATATAAACAATGAAACTGGGTACAATGATGTGTATGATGAATATCCCTTTAAATGTTGACAGAACCTCAATTTTATTGGTTCTGGCTTAAAATAATATTCAGGTGGGACCAGTGAAATGTATCAGTTTCATGATGCACATATTTAGTATTTTCTTAAATCGTTAAATAATACTTTGAGACAATTGAGAAATTACATATTGCTTGCAGTGTAAAAAGAATAACTTAAAAGATGTTAAAATAACGTGTTAAAATTGGAATATCATTGTAGATTGGGCAGACAATTTACAGTTACAAATCTCGGAGATGTTAACTAATTTTCTGCACAAAACAGACCACAATCAACATCTGCCTTCCATTGACTGCCTTGTTTGTAGTTGTAGAGTTGATGGTTGATGATAACCTTAGAAACACACGTTCCTAGGTGTTCACCCTGACGAGGTCAGTCTTGTTCTAGCACTTCCTCTGTACAACACTGATATATATACTAGTACTCTTTACAACACTGATATATACTAGCACTCCCTCTTTACAACACTGATATATACTAGCACTCCCTCTTTACAACACTGATATATACTAGCACTCCCTCTTTACAACACTGATATATATACTAGTACTCTTTACAACACTGATATATACTAGCACTTCCTCTTTACAACACTGATATATACTAGCACTCCCTCTTTACAACACTGATATATAGCTAGCACTTCCTCTTTACAACACTGATATATACTAGCACTCCCCTCTTTACAACACTGATATATACTAGCACTTCCTCTTTACAACACTGATATATACTAGCACTCCCTCTTTACAACACTGATATATACTAGCACTTCCTCTTTACAACATTGATATATACTAGCACTTCCTCTTTACAACACTGATATATACTAGCACTTCCTCTTTACAACACTGATATATACTAGCACTCCCTCTTTACAACACTGATATATACTAGCACTTCCTCTTTACAACACTGATATATACTAGCACTTCCTCTTTACAACACTGATATATACTAGCACTTCCTCTTTACAACACTGATATATACTAGCACTTCCTCTTTACAACACTGATATATACTAGCACTTCCTCTTTACAACACTGACTGATATATACGCTTTTAACCTAGTTTTAAAGATTAATCTCGATGAACATTTATAATTACAAGTACTACTAGAGACTTCAGCCAGCCTAATATTCCACTTGAGCCCAAGTTAAAACAATGAAATTGCTGCGGTAGAATTTTTTTTTTTTCGTAAATAATTTTAACTGGAAAATTCTTGCATAAATGGTTAGTTTCTGCATCTATAGGCGAAAATGCTTTTAACAGTTGATGGAAAGTTAGTAAACTAGTACGGAAACTGTAACTAAATTTAGGCAGTCTTTCAGATAAACATCAACTTCGCCACTTGGAATGTTTAACAAAATTTGATAATTTAGAAATTAACTGTACTTTTGTCTTTATTCTGCTAGTCAAAAAATAATTTATTTATTTGTGAGGTAAAGACGAAACTTACGAAATTTCAAAAATATTTAAAATCAGTTGAAATGAAAGTTTTATAAGTAGCCCTTAACAATAACTGACAGTTGTAGCTTTTTTTTTAATCTTGTAAATTGTGCAAGAATGTGCCACAAGTGATCACTTTTTTTCAACTTTAGAAGCAGAATGAATCATGTATCATAATGATGTATGCAGAAATAGTCAGTTTACTTTGCTTGATGTGTATATAGGGGAAAAAATACATGTACTTATAACCAAGACTGTTTTCAGGACTCAAAATAAACAAGAAATAAAAATAGGATAATGTTACAAGTCAATAATGAGCAAAGACTTTGGGCAGTAATACTACAAGATTTTTCACTCCCATTAAATTGATGTTTTCTTATTAAAGAATTTAGTTTTTTAGCAAAGTATCTATTGCATTAGGTAACAGTACATTTTGATGAATCATAATAGTTTACATGACACTAGACACCTCAAGAATATCATGTACCTCCCTCAGACGTCTTCTGTTATATAGACACTGGATGCTGTTGTTGTATTAAGTCTTGTTAGGTTCTGTTGATGTTCAGTATCCAATATTTTAAGATCATTAATTTTACTGCAGAGTCTCAAGTTCTGTTATGTAGATAGTAAGTTGTATTATATTGTTTAATATAATAAATGAGTACCCATCCTAAGTTGTATTATTTATGATTATAGTTTACAATGAAAATGAGTAAATTGTTAAGACAAACATCACGCGTTTGTTAGTATGTCAGAAGAATTTAGCGATTTTTAAGATAATGCCTGTAACTGAAATCAATAACAAAAGCTAAATAAAACTGTCCACAATAGGCAAGATGATAAACTTCGAAAATCCTTTCCCTTTCAATCAGTAACCCTTTGCGCCGCGGAGGGACTCACTATCCGTGGAATTAGATCTCGTCTCCTATGGATCGAATCTAAATACAATCCCTTTCCTCCCTAACTCCATTCGACCTTTGGGAATATTCCATTTGCAAACTACAACTTCTGGAATGAGGGAAACGGGATCATCCGTCCCAGTGCTGTATGACCCTTGTGGGTTTAGCGCTTATTTCTAATTGTTGTAATACTAATATCTGTCCCATTCCATTGAGGACCTTGGTGATGGTGTTTGTCAAGGGAATTTGATTACCTGGGGATGTGCTTATGACCCTGGTGGGTTTAAGCTAGGCCTCCCTCAGGGGTTCCGGTGGGTGGCCTCTTGTCCCCGTGGGGTGATGAGAATATCACTGGAGGCTAGTTGTCGGTTCCCTTGGGCAAAGGGCGTGTACCTCGGCGGGTTTCTGGTCACCCGCATCTCTTGTCAGCTGAGTTGGCTCGGTTTATGTGCTAGTTTAGTATAACATAATACAGTATAATATAATATCTTTATTTCTACAAGTACATGTACAAGGTATACAGGCCTAGTTGACATCACTGACATACTGCTATATAGTAAACCGCTTGTTATGCTCAGCATTTCGGGTAAATTAGGTCAGTTTTGTCCTAGGATGCGACCCACACCAGTCGACTAACTCCCAGGTACCCATTTTACTGATGGGGAACATAGACAACCAATGTAAAGAAACATACCCAATGTTTCTACCTTTGCTGGGAATCGAACCCTGACCCTTGCCGTGTATAGCGAGAGCTTTAGCCACCAGGCCAAGAGGCATGGAAGGACGGGACATGGAAGGACGGGTAGGCAGTGGTTTCCATGCACCATCAACACTTCTTGTCGCACTAAATTCTAGTGATGCACTAACAAATGTGTGATTTTAATCGTGACGTGACAATTTACGCTTTCTCCCTCGGAGTTCATCTTTTCTCTCCCACTGCTCCATTTTTTTTTTTTTTTTGAGAGAGAGAGAGAAAAGGGAAAAACCTTAATCATGAATGGTCTTATCTATGATTACCTCCGCCCGGGCACCTTTCCTTTGCGGCACCCTTTAACTGACTCCAGCACGCCCACGGATCTTTGAACCCAGCATCGCTTGTGGGCAACTCTTCATTGCTCGACTCCTGTGCCAGAGTTCCTGCTGACCTCTTTTTGATACGACTTTGACCATGATTCTGGCTTCTACCACAATGTGTATCGATTTCGGATTGTTCGTATATCACAAAGCGGATTGGCTCGAAGCCTCCATCCAAAAGACCTCCATGTACTTGATGATACTGACAGTTCTCGCTCTTACTCAAAGAAACAATATGCCTGGAAACCTCTTCACCTGCAATTTGTATTTCAAGAATGCTCCTGGACGAAATTAGTTTCCCCAGTTAACGACACCTACAGATTACCTCGCCGACAGTAGGACAAGCAAAACATTTTTTAGGCATGTTGGGCAAAACTGACCATCCTAGCCCATAGGCACCGCCTACTTTGTGGCCTTTTTTTCGTATTTGCAACTAATGACTTTATTACAGTAGAACCTAAGAGGATACATGGGAAATGGGGAAAGGGCTTAAAGTGCTGCTGCTCCCAATTTTCTCCTATTTGTGCCTGTTTAAATGAGCCACAATTACGTTTCACTGTTGGCCTTCCTATCACTGGCTGTTTAATTGCGATCATTTGAGCAGCGCTATATACCCCTTGTGGCTTAGCGCTTCTTTTTTATTATAATAATAATGCGATCATTTGATCCTTTTTTCCGATGAGACAGTTAATGAGAGTGCGGAAGCGATATTATATATATATATATATATATATATATATATATATATATATATATATATATATATATATATATATATATATATATATATATATATATATATATATATAACAACACTTCAAACTGGCGTTCCTTGTATCCTGGAGTACAAGACGTGATAATTACAAGCAATCGCTTGAACCTGCATCATGGTAGTTTCTGTGATGCTGGTGATGGACTCTTGATTCAAGGACTTCTCCTTGGGTTGACCCTAGTTGCTAAATCCTGAGGGTTTAGCACTTTTCCAAGCAATGACTTCTTCGGGTCAGCCTACCTTGGTGGGAGACGGCTGTTGTGTAAAAAAAATATAATTTAAATCTTCAAGTGGTTAAGGACAGGATCACCTTGTTTGACAAAAATGTAGTCTGTTAGATAGTCTAACAAAACGTATCCTTTGCCAGTCAAGTATTGGATGATCCTGGGTGCGTAGGCGCTGTCCTCTATCTCTATCACCAGCACCCGCACACTCACCTCCTCCCATGGAACCGCCTTCAGGATATATTCTTCCATACCTTGGGTATCCAGTGAAAAGAAGTCGATCTTAGAGATATTGAGTGCTATGATGTAAGACACCAAAGGAAAACACGTTGTTGTCATGTAGGTTTGATCTGCACGACGCAAGAAGTCTTTGAAGAAGTTGCTCCTGTTAATGCCATATTGGTATGATGCTCCTCTGACGTGCCATGGGGGTGCTGAACCATCTGTTGGTGTGGCCGCGACATGGATAGACCGTCTAGCAAAGCCGTCTTGAGAGAGACATGTATTAGAGATCCAGGCTTTGCGACGCTTGGCCCTCAGAGCCCTGTAGCTGGAGGTATCAGGTTCTATCAGCAGCCCGGTCCAGCCTAGTTCCTGCTCCATCCAGAGGGTGTTAGAGAGTTGCTGGCCGTCAAGAGCTCCTGCCTCCACAAAGAAACCTTGCCGCTCCTGAGCGAAAATGTGTTGGAGGTGCTTATGTATGTAGGTCCAGGTGCCCGAAGTGCTGGCTTGTAGGTACTGCAGGTCCCTTGACAGGTTGTAAGGCAAAGTTGATGGAGGTTCTAAGAAGTTCCTCCTTAACTCAGCCACCACTCTATGGTCCATACCAGGTATGGGCTCAGCTAGCATATCCGGCTCCTTGGTCCATGTCAACACCTGCAATTCAGGACACATATAAAAACATATAAAAAAAGAATGTACAGGAAAAGTCCTATAAAACGGACCCCTATAACAAGGGCTCAACATATATATATACGTCGAATGAGATGCCCGATTAAAATAGCCATAAAGCGGACCAAATTCTTAGTATTAAATGACTGTCCAGTTCGACCATACACTCAATAGAATGAACCAACTCAGCTTAATCCCAAGTTTGTAGGGTCCAGACTTTGTCCAGAACTTGTCCATTTTCATTTCGGTGGTAGAGACAAGCTTCTTGTGTCCAACTGGAAATTATGTTGCCAGAGACAAAATAATTGTTTACAAGATAGAGACGGCATGTGAGGTATTCTTGCTCAGGATGGTGAGGTTAGTTACCATTTTGTCCTAGGCACATGTCGATTAGACACTAGGCCTGTTTTGTGTGTGTGTGTGTGTGTGTGTGTGTGTGTGTGTGTGTGTGTGTGTGTGTGTGTGTGCTTACCTAATTGTGGTTTGCTACGTCTGTGTTCTCAGCTTGCCTCGTTAGGTATTCCTGGATTATAATTGGTTCAGCCTGAATACCACAAGGTTATGATTGGTTCAACCATACCACGGCGGGATTGAACCCGCGGTCAGAGAGTTATGATTGGTTATTGTCTCTCAGAGGTGAGGAGCTTGTTAGTGTCGGTGTGTGTTGTTCCTGCTTGTTGTGTGTCTGGCGTCCCTACTGCCCTTCCTACTGCTGTCTCCTACGCTGTTTCTCGCTCCTGAAGTTCTCCTAGAAGTTCTTGACTCCTCCTACATCCTTGACGTCTTGTAGATTTAAGGAAGCTGAGGTATACAAAGGTTATAGTTAATCTGACTGTTAACCTGACTCACTAATATAGCTCTCTCTTATATTAGTCTTTAAGGAAGCTACGAAACACGAGTATGAATATATACTGCGATACCTTTCTATGTTACTGACCTAAATAAACAAGCAAGGTATCATGTACCTAGGTACATGTAACACTAGTGTACATAGGGAGGAGAGACGGAACTACTACTTTTCAAAAGCTCTTGCACTTTCGTGTACACAGGTACGTGAAGCACAAACAGCAGTATCCTTCCAAAGCTCACGTGTTCTCGTTTATCTAGGTACATGATATACGATTTATAATACTCTTCTAAAACTCTTGTACTTATATACATAGGCATTATAACACTTGTACTCGCAGTTCCACTTGTTTCCAAAATACTTCATTCTTGTACAAAAGACTGTTGTTGCAAGGCACACAAGATTTCCACCCAAAAAAAATTAAGTACAAAGATCGATCGCTAACGCATTCACCTCACACACTGAGGTCCAGGGTTGGAATCTCGGGTACGGCTGGAATACATTAGGACGTTTTTCCATAAGATACCTGCTGTCCCTCTTCACCCATCAGTTTAAAATGGGCATCTGGATGTTAGTGGACTGGTGTGGGTCGCATCTCGGGACAAAACTAACCCCATTTTCGGGAAATGCCCAGCATAACAAGTGGCTTTCTATAAAATTTTGTTATTGATGTCAGCTATGATCTGTATACCTTGTACATTCACTTGTAGAAATAATATTTAATATCTAAACTATTTATAGCACCTCAGGGGACTCTGAATTTATTTTCTAACACGGAAGATAGAGGGGTGTGATATATTCTAAGTTGGGTAAATATTATGCCAGATACCTGGCGGCTTACACACTAAAATAACTAATTGGAGTATGAGACGTCAGAGGAAGTGAAATGTAAAAGTTGCCTTAAATACAATTAAAGAGTGAATTGTGTCAACATTCTTGCCCCATTCATCCACCAAGGTTTTTAATACCATGGTGGCTGGTGGGGGTTGTGCCCCCACCAGCCGCTGTCAGGACAAGAAAAATGAGGTCACCCAACCATTGCGAAAGTCTGATATCGTCGCCATTCTTAATAATACTCCTCGTCTGTTCGGCAAAAGATGCAAAGTTGTCTCCAGCGATTATCTACTTGGTGGACATCTTCTACCCAAGGGTCACGGTCGCTTTGTAGTGACGAAGGAAACCCCTCATGTTGTCGCTCTGTACTTCTGCCTAGATGGGACCTTAATCTACTACAGTGGCGGTAATCCTGAGTTCGCCAACAAAATAGCAAATGACTACTTCAAGCAGCACCCCTGCTTCAGAAGACTCCTAAGTGTTGGTGAAGTACCACAATATGCTGGTACCTGCGTGTACCATGCTATAGCATTCATGGACATAGTTGTTAGTTCCAAGCTCACGGACCCTGATGACATCATCCGCTGGTTCACCAACAAAATGAAATATAACCCGGATATTACAGCAATCAACCTAGTCAGGTCAATGTTGACTGAATTCAATAATGATATAGTTACTTCCTGCAATGATCCACAAGAGAGCGTATTGTTGGCAGACGTTAAAGATCATCTACTAGTTGCTGACAAGAAGACTCTTAAGCGTCCACTGGACACTGAGACGCCTTCAACACCTCCACAAAACATGATTAAACTCTGAATGATCAAATAAAGAGAACACCAAGAAGTTGTCCGTGTGTGTGTGTGTGTGCATGTGTGTGAGTTTGTGTGTGCATGTGTGTGTGTTTGTGTGTGCATGTGTGTGTGTTTGTGTGTGCATGTGTGTGTGTTTGTGTGTGCATGTGTGTGTGTTTGTGTGTGCATTTATGATTTATATTTTACATTTATATATTTAGGATAAATTCAATAACAATGGTATTTCATTTTTTTTATGTTTGAGTTAATGTAATAAAGAGGATATTATTATTATTATTATTGTTATTATCACCATTATTACCACCATCATCATCATTATTATTATTATTTGTAAGTTCCATGGAGTTTCCTTAAAAATTAGATAAAACAAATAAAAATGTTGAGTTTTGGCCAGACAAGACTGTAGCACTTTTATCAAGCATACCTCGGGTGGGGTTAGAACTCCAGGTCACACATATTATATTTTGTTGGGATTTTTAACACTGGAGGGTTAGCCAACCAGGATAACCCAAGAAAGGTGTTCTTGTTCCTGTGAAAACGTGCCTAGTGTGTGCCATTCTTAACTTATGTGACATTTTGGACCTGACTAGTTGGAGTGTGGACCTGATTAGTTGGTATAGATCGGCAATAGGGATAATTAGGAAGAAGGGAGGGCACCCTGTCATATGTAGCATTTTGTTGAGGAGTTGGAAATGAATGGGTGTCCGAGGCAACTGGTGTTAATTGTTGTCTGGACAAACACTGTAAGGACATTACAGTATCATTTATAGACAACTGGAATCTCTTCCATGGCAGAGATGACATGTATGCCAGGGATGGGATTCACTTATCTAGGGCAGGTATGGTGGCACTGGCCAATGCCACTAACCCATACCACTATTTCTATCTTTAAACTAGAAATAGTTAGTGGTATGGGTTTTTGTGGGAAAGCAATGAGATATGATACAATGGAATTGGGCAGGATGAATTCTCATTGTAGTGATGTGCGTTTTATCAAAGTCAGTTATACTCAGAATGAGGTAGAGTTATTGGTGAATATTGGAAAGCCAGTGACACTAGGTAATAAGGAGAGTAATAGAGATAGCAGAGGAGCAGGAAGGAAAAAGAAAAGAGAGGGCTTCTAAAAAATATACAAATAGTCGTAATGCTAGAAAAAAGATGGATGAGTTGATATTAGTTGCAAGTGCGGATAACACTGACGTATTTGCCATAAATGAGATGTGGTTTAATATGAAGAATCGGGACATGCCTACTGAATGTTACATTCGGGGTTTTAAGTTATTCCGCGTTGATAGAAGTAACGGAAAGAAAGATGGGATGGCACTATATGTTAGAGAGCACTTAAACTGCTGCATAAAAGCGAGTATTAAGAAAGAACACACACAGAGTCTGTATAGAATTTTCGGAAAGGCGTGAAAAATTATTTTTAGGCGTAATTTACCGTTCCCGAAACTTGGATAGGGACCAAGGGAGACTGGGAAGGAATTATTAAAGCCACAAGACACGATAACGTAGTAATTCTAGGAGACTTTAACTTTAGCCAAATTGACTGGAATTCATCTACTGGAAATTCTGAGTCAAACGACTTCCTGCAGGTAGATCAACATTGTTTTTCTTGGATCATTTTGTGACAAAATCAATGAGGGAAAATAATCTGCTTAATTGGGTTCTGGCTAACAATAATACCCTTGTTAATAATCTAGAGATTACAGAGGAACTTGGCAACAATCAATTACCTTTAGCATCGACTGTAAGTATGATAGTAGGGATAATTCAGTAATAGTCCCAGATTTTCGCTTAGTAGATTCCATTGGGCTAAGAGAACACTGATCATCTGTGGCTGGGGTAACGAAGAGAACTAACAATACAACAGTTTTTTAAATACTATACAAGCTGCCCAAAGAACATTTATTCCGTTTAGAGAAATGAGATCGGATAGAAATGATCCGAAACGGATGAACAATAAGCTCACACATCTTTTAGGGCAGAAGAAAGGAATTTATATGAGTATCAAAAGATATGAGGGTCATCTCATTGATCAATATACTCACGTTAAGAGGGAGATTAAATAAGAGATAGAGAGAAAAAAGCTAAAGGGGACTAAGAAATTAGAGTGGCAAATCAATCAAGTTTATTCTCTATAAGGATTACAATGTGTGGTTTACAGATTTTGAATATTGTGTGGTTTGCATGTTTTAAAACACTAATTACAGAGGGGGCCACTAGGACACCTAGCATGGCTAGGCATTTCGGGCAGACTTAGATTAATTCTAAACTTTAAATTATTACAAATTATGGTATTAAGGCTAAGTGACTACATTACAGTTTAAGAGTTTAGCAATGTGAATGCTTTTGTTTTGGCACAAGACATAGTGTCTATATTGGAGTATCATAGGCAAACTTATGACTAGTTAGGATTCATTATTTTAAGATTAAGTTCGTATTTCTGTGTTTATAGTCAATGGGTGAGTGAGTGTAATTGTGAGTCACCA